ATGGATCACAATGATGGATACGTGCTCAGTATCCCGGTGCCCATCCTCCGCGGCAGCTCCGATTCCAACTTGAACAAGTCCAGCAATCTTCTGCAGGAGCTGCCTCGGGGCCGGCTGGAGCTGGAGAGCCTGCAGCAGAAGATCATGAAGGTGACGGAGCAGCTGAAGGTGGAGCAGATGGAGCGGGACGAGAACGTGGCCGAGTTCCTCAAGCTGGTCAGCATGGCGGATAAGCAGCAGGTGGCGCGAATAAGGCAGGTTTTTGAGAAGAAGAACCAGAAGGCGGCGCAAAACATCAGCCAGCTGCAGAAGAAACTGGAGCAGTACCACCGGAAGCTGAAGGAGAACGAGAGCAACGGCTCCAAACACAGCAGCCCTAAAGATCTGGCCAAGGAGTTGCTGCAGAAGGACGTGTCCAAAGACGTGTCCAAAGACGTGTCCAAAGACGTGTCCAAAGACGTGTCCAAAGACTTATCCAAAGACTTGTCCAAGGAAGCTCTGAAGGACGTGAACGGTAGCGGACGGCACATTCGCCTGGACAAAATCAAAACCATCGGCCCTGGAGTCTCGCTGTCTCCTCCCTTCTTCTTCAGCAAGCCCAAGGAGTTCGCCAACCTCATCCGCAACAAGTTCGGCAGCGCTGACAACATCGCCCACCTCAAGACCAGTTTAGAGGAGGGCGGCGCCCGAATGCTTGGAGGGAGCGCCACCATAGTGGGCCAAACCAAGTACCACAGCGATGACGAGAGTTCTGTGGGTTCCTCTGGTTCCGCGGACAGTAACGGTAATCCTGCGGCCCCTCCGCAGGACAACAGCTCCATTTCCATGGTGCTGGTGGAGCTCCAGCACATCCGGCAGTCTCAGAACCGGCTGGCTGAGGAGATGGAGGCTCTGAAGGAGGACCTGAAAGAAGGAGACAAGTTCCTGGCACAGACGCTCGAGGAGGAGAAATACAGGTTAGCTTTGAGTGTTAGCTTAGAGTGAGCCATGGGACGTTCTAATCTAGAGGTTCTTAGCGTCCCCAGGGCATTCATGAGAGTCATGCTATTCATAGATAACTATAGAAAAAATTTGGATGACTGCTCTGCCTAAGGGCTCCACCTACAGGCCACAAATGTTCATTATTAATTTCTGTTCATAGGAGGGAATTATAATAATGATAAATGTTCCTATTTCAATTAATATGTATTTTTATGAGTATTCATTTATATTAAAAGAACTATTCATTTCTGTTAATCCCACATTAGTAGGAGTTGGTGCCCCCTGGCAGACCCATTGAGTAACTGCAGGTCAAAAGTTTGGAATAATGTCATATTCATATCATTTTATTTTATTTTATAATAACCTGCACAGCATTGATCAGGATATTATAAAGTTAGACACTTTTTTGAAGCTTTATTCAATATTTCAATATGAGGATGTAAAGTCTGGGGTTTTAGGGGTTAAATGATAAATACTAGACTGTGATTAATATATAGCTGAGAATTTCCTGTCAAGACTTGATTATCACTTTTCTAATAAGAGTCTATGTTCTTTCCTACCGTCACTCTCCCTCCCTCCCTGCCCCCCACCTCCGCCTCCCTCTCTCTCAGGGTGGAGCGTCTGGAGGAGCAGCTCAATGACCTGCTGGAGCTCCACCAACATGAGATGACCAATCTGAAGCAGGATCTCGCCAGCATCGAGGAGAAAGTGGCCTACCAGGCTAACGAGAGGGCCAGAGACCTGCAGGTACGCAAACCAGAGCTGGACAAAACGGAAAAATATAATCACGATCTGAGATTATAGTTCTACAGTTACAGACTGTAGTCCATCTGTTTCTCTGCATACTTTGTTACCCTGGTCTTCAGTGGTCAGGAACCCCACGGACCCTCACAGAGCAGGTACTATTTGGGCGGTGGGTCATTCTCAGCACTGCAGTAACACTGACGTGGTGGTGGTGTGTTAGTGTGTGTTGTGCTGGTCTGAGTGGATCAGACACAGCAGTGGTGCTGGAGTTAAACACCTCAGTGTCACTGCTGGACTGAGAATAGTCCACCAACCAAAAATATCCAGCCAACACCGTCCTGTGGGCAGCGTCCTGTGTCCACTGATGAAGGACTAGAGGATGACCAACACAAACTGTGCAGCAGCAGATGAGCTATCGTCTCTGACTTTACATCTACAAGGTGGACCGACAAGGTAGGAGTGTCTAATAGAGTGGACAGTGAGTGGACACAGTGTTTAAAAAGTCCAGCAGCACTGCTGTGTCTGATCCACTCAGACCAGCGCAACACACACTAACACACCACCACCACGTCAGTGTTATTGCAGTGCTGAGAATGACCCGCCACCCAAATAGTACCTGCTCTGTGAGGGTCCATGGGGGTCCTGACCACTGAAGAACAGGGTAACAAAGTATGCAGAGAAACAGATGGACTACAGTCTGTAGCTGTAGAACTACAGAGTGAAACTGTATGGTCAGTGGAGCTGAGTGTTGCTACGAGGAGGTGGACTTGCAGTGCTCAGCCAGTGTAGGTTTCAACTGCAGTTTAAAACTCTAATTAAACCCAAAATAGTTGTTTTGTTTAGTTATAATCAGTGATGGCACAAAGAAAGCAGCACTGACCTGCCCTGGACCTGTTTACACTTCTTCACTGTGCTGTAGTGTCATATCTTATTACAGTACTGGGAAATGATCACAGCACTGGGCTCTGCGCTCCTCGCAGTGCTGTGCAGTTTAATGCAGCAATAGGATGTTGTGTAACTGCGATTGTGATGTTCACTTGCTAACGTTCACTCAGGCTGATAAGGAGGAATAAATCCTGCTGGACTTTCTCCTCTGAAAGCAGTGCTGCTTTCATCAGTCTGTACATTCAGTATAAGGTGTGATGTGGTGTCAAACTGCCCATGAGGAGCTGCTCTCTTCTCCGCTCGTCCACTCGTCTCCGTGGATTCATCTGAACCGACTATAGGAGAGTTAAACAGAACACACAGCCTGCTGCTCTGCAGCTCTCGCACAGCCCAGCTCCTCAGACTTAATCTGTTCAAGCTCTTTCTCCTGCTGTGTGTGTGTGTGTGTGCGCGTGTGTGTGCGCGTGTGTGTGCGCGCGTGTGTGTGCGCGCGTGTGTGTGCGCGCGTGTGTGTGCGTGCGTGTGTGTGTGTGTGCGTGTGTGTGTGTGTGTGTGTGTGTGTGTGCGCGTGCAGAGGAAACCTTTGTTCAGGAGGTTTTATGATGTTGTTCTTGCACAACTGAGGCCGTTTCTGTAACAGCTGTGTTCCAAGTGGACTCTACTCTGCTATAAACTGATCGGCTCTCGGTTGCCTGTCGCTGTAGAGGGTGAAGGATTCTTCACTGTTCCCTGCAGTGAACTGTGTGGGAGTGCTTTAGAGCTTTTAGAACCACATTTAGAGCACCGTACAGTACTGCGCGTACTGATACTGCAGTCTTTAGCGCATGTGATCTCCAACTAGTTCAGAATTCAGCAGCCTGTGTTTTTAAGAGGAGAAGATCTGAGCATATTACTCTGTTTACACTGGCCTCTGATTTCCCTGATGACCACATGACTTGCAGGCTGCAGGACCGGCTCTGGCATTTTGGGGGCCCTAAGCAGGATTTTTCTGGGGGCCTCTCATCTGCCTGTGCACTTCCCCAGACCTACACGTTATTAAACAGTTTAAAAATAAAAGCAGAGAGAATAATTCTCCTTCTGACTATCACAGTGTGTTCATTTATTCTGAGCCTGATTCTGTTTGTTTATATGGAAACATTTTGCTGAATTACTGTGTGTGTATATAAGGACCAGTCTTAATGTGATCCAAACGTTTATACATAAAGTTATATATAGTCTTAAATAAACATTCTTAAGTTTGGCAAACCAGTAAGCTGGTAGGTGATTTACTGTAAAATTAGAGGCTAAATAATAACGGTGTTTACATACCAAGATTTTTGCCAATCCGTTTGATTACATTCTGATTATAGATTCAGACTGAGGTGTTTATTCTCACTTTACTCAACAATCTGATGAAAATCTTCGTTTACATGCTCACTACAAGTAATCAGATCCAAAATGACGCGCATGCGTAGAGAACCACTTAGTGTAGACGTTACCATGACGACCAGCATCGCGTGAGTCCAGTCAGAGTGAGATGAGCAGCAGTGAGCAGCGCTTGTGTTTTTAACTGCTTTAAAATGATGTCAGACTTAGGAAAACGTCCTTCACATGTCCTTATTAAAGAAGGCCGAGAGGAAGACGTCGTGTTCTGAGACACATAAGCTGGACGTCCGTCCCACCGCCGTCTTTTAAAGATCAGAGCATAAACTTCGTCTCCTCTGCAGACCAGTTTCTGCTCCGCCATGTTGAACGGTATAAACTCTCACTATGACGTGACGAACATGATCAGAACGGACTTAAACTTTCCGATAGGGAATGTAATCAGATACAGACGTTTACACGGATATTATTCTTCTATTTAACGGATTATTTACAGGATTACCCACCTCGATCAGTCGGATAGGAACTGTATTCTGAATGGCCTCAATCGGACTAGACTATTCCGATTGAGGTGTTATTCGGATAATTAACAGATTATTAGGCTGCATGTAAACGTGTCTAATGACTATCACAAATGGCATAAATAATGTGCAAAACATTAGGCACATAATATTTACACCTCAGAATGAAGCCAAAACATACCATTATCTTTTAGCTTTTTCTCCTGGTGGCCGCAGGGCACTAAGCAGCTGCTTATGTCGCTTATTAGGTAGAGCCTGCACAGAGCATACTGCAATATGCAGTGAACAGTACACAGTATGCTATGTTTGAAATATTGTACTGTGCACTGTACACTGCATTCTGTACCAGTATATACTGTATACTGCATATTATATCAATATATACTGTATGCTATTCTTCATCAGTAGCGTACTGTACAGTATTGTACCGATTGTACAGTACAATCTGAAGAATGATTACACCATGCAGAGAAGCGTTTAATCATGCAAAGCGTTCTTTGAGTGTTTTGTTCTATACTGAACCATTTTCTTTGCTAAAGAACCCTTAAAGGACCATCTGTTTTGAGTGTGTAGACAAGTACTCCAGACAAATTACAGCAAATAAGGAAGTGGCACTAAACATTCCAGGTTACTGGCAGTAAAGACTGAGGAGGACGGATAGAGGAATGTCCTAGCTAGACTATGCTACAATATTTACATACGTAATTCCAAAAAATTTGGGACAGTATCTGAAAATGGTAAATAAAAAACAGAAAGCAGTGATTAGTAAATTCTGTTTTACATACATTTTTATCTGTATTACAGTGAAAATAGTGCGACAACACAGTATTTGATGTTTTACGTTATGTGCCTTAATTAATTAATTAAACTTAATTAATTAGACTTAATTGTTTTTTGTAAATATGCGCACATCCCAAATATGATGCCTGCAGCACATTCCGAATAAGTTACAGGAGCATTTTACAGCTGTGTTACATCAACTACCTCTTTAACAGCACTTAATAATCCTTAAGGACTGAAGACACAAACTGATCCGGTTTGAAAGTGGACGCAGGCTGGTCATTTGCACCCGCTCTCTGATACACGCCGTGTGTTACATACGAATGTTTCTTGATGTTGTCATGGTGAAATCAGAATGGGCGTCTCTGAAAAAGACGAGTCTAAAAGGCAGCTATTTGCTTCAAATGTTTCATGTTGCTTGGTGCTTTCACAGATGTGCAGGTTACCCACTGATACACCGCCCCGCCACACACACCTTGACAGACGCTGGATTTAGAACTTTACACTGGTAACATTCTGGAAGGTCCTTTTCTTCTTTGTCCTGGAGAACATGATTTCCATTCTTTCCATGAACAATCCGAAAGGGTAACCAGTCAGACGACAAAACACGTTTCCACTGAGCATCAGTACATTTCAGACGAGCTTGAGCCCAGAGAAGTCGGCAGCGTTTCCGGACGTTGTTGATGTTTGACTTCCACTGTGCAGAGTACAGTCTTAACCTGCATTTGTGGATGCAGAGATGAACACGGTTTAATGACAGTGTTTTTGTTCCCGAGCCCACGTGGTGAAATCATCACAGAAACATGCTCTTTTTTAATGCAGTGCTGTGTGAGGGGTCGAAGGTCATAGACATCCGTTCGTGATTTTTGCTGTTGTCCTTTATGCATAGAGGTTTCCTGAATGTTTTGATGATGTTATGCACTGTAGAGGGTGAAATACCTGAAATCCTTGCTGAGGAATGTTATTTTTGAACTGGATTATTTTTGGGAAACTGGCAAGTGGCAGGCAGCAGCCACCCATGCTCACAAAGGACTCTGCCTTTCCTGGATGCTCCTTCTATACCAAAGCATGATCGCATCACCTGTTTAAGATGCTCTTGTAAAAGTAAACAGTGTTTGTAGTCCTAAATTGTTCCTGTCCCAACTTTTTTGGAGATGGGTTTGTACTAGTGGAGTGGAAAAGCTGCAGGATGTAACATACAACCTAAATGTAAAAGTGAGAGAGAGTCAGTCAGCAATGGCTGCTAGGAGCTCTGATGGCCTGCGGGAAGAAGCTGTTTCTGAGGTGGGTGGTGCGCACTGAGATGCTTGGAAGGCGTCCAAGATGATCCACTAAAACCTGCGACCAGCCAGAACACTCGGAACACTCCCTCTGTGGTGCAGCGGTAACAGTTGACCATAACAGATGTGAGTGTCCTGAAGCTGTTTAGTCTCCTGAGGAAGGTCAGGATGCTCTCTGTGATGCTTCTGTAGCAGCAGCTGAGGATGGGTGTGTGTAGAGGTGGGCAAAAATAATATATTGCAATACCCCCGATACATTATGCATTCTGATATTTCGTTTTTCTGAGATTTAATAAAAGAAGTTGAAACTAGAACCTGTAGTGCCAGATATATAAAAAAATACTATAGTAATAATAATAAAGCTACTTAAACTTTAATGATTTTTATTCGGTGTTTTTACTGCACTAAATCAATTTAAACAGCTTAATTATGCTCAATTTGTAATGAAACGTAGTTGGTCAGTGTTATTTAAGTACTTCCCAGAGTGGAGATGTAGTCTAAATGAGATCTCTTCTTGATCTCAGGTTCTTCTCCTGGACACAGTTCAGTCCAGTGTGAGATCAGAGTGAGACTGAAGCCGTTTTCTCCTGTTTCTGAAATTCGGCTCCTGAGAAATAAAACTCAGATTTTCTCACTTCAGTGTCTGACTCGTCTCAGCCCAGCCTCAGCTGAGTAATATCTCCATAAGAACAGTGTGAGATCTCATCGTTCTCTTATACAGCTCTGTTCTAGATCACAGAACCCTCTCAGCAGTCTGTCAGTGCAGAAGGAGAACTCGCGCTTTTCTCCTTCATCACCAGAACGTCTCACAGTGAGACGCTGATGTTAATCTCCTCTTTTCTCCTGAGGAGGTTCAGGAGGAACAGCTCAGAAATCAGAGATCCTTCATTAATATAATACTGAGATCTGCTTTATTTCTCTGAGACGATCTTAAGAAAGATTTTTTTTTCTCCTCTGGGTTATGATCTCCACGATATGTTCAGGAAAGCGTATTGTGACGTAATTTATCACGATAATGATGAATGATATTGCCCACACTTACGTGTGCGCAGGCTGGATCTCTTCTGAAGACGTGATGTTCCTGATCATGTTGGTCACACGCTACATTCTACTTACTGCTTTTGTGCTCTGTCTAATCTAGAACACCCGATTCGGCTCATTAACTAATCCACAAGCTCCTCGTGAGCGTCTCCACAGGTGTGTAGAGAAGGGAGAACACAGAACCTGGGGTCACCTGGGCTCAGACTGGACACTCCTGAACCAAGCATATGAAGACTTAAAGGGGAATTCCACTGATTTTTCAAAATTTCTGCACAAGTCAGTGGCTCAGATGTAAAAAAGTAATTGAAAGTGGATTCATGTGAAATGTTCATTGTGGAGAAACTCAGATTTCTTCACAGTGGTGGTGATAAGAACCAGGGGTCGCCATGACTACAACACAGATATAGACATTTTATTTACTATCCACTGTCCACTATTTACTGTATTCTGAGTTTATAAGGGATGTTGATGATGGAAAATAGTGGAAAATCTGAAATAATCAGTTTTCTTTGGGGACTATTTTGCCTCACAGCGCCCTGCATGTATCCCTCCACCATGAATGGAGTTTAAGTTCTCTAAACTATCATAAAACAGTGTCTCAGTCATCAGGCAGTGAATTCATAACCATTTCATGTAGGAACTTTCTGTGAGGGAGCTTTTAGAGGTGGACGTCTGGTTCCTATCACAACTACTGTGAGTAGTTCTGACTGTAAGTTTATCTAGAACAGAGCGTTTCACACCAAACCACTCTGAATGACTCTGTTTACATCTTAACTGTTTAATTATGCTGAGAATTTTGAAAAGTTGGTGGAATTCTCCATTTAACCTGATATGCTTTTGTTTGCACAAGCTGCAAAATAGCTGTGTTTATTTTACATTAGAGATGGATATTTTTAGACGGTCTCAGTGCTTTGCACCCGTATTTATTATTAAGAGCTCATTTCCTTCTCCTTTTTTTCCTGTTATGTACTGCATGAACTACAAGGCCTTGTTTATGACTTTTAAAGCTCTTAGTGGTCGAGTGGGCACATCTTACAGATCTGAACTGCAGTAGCCGCCTGGACCTCCTCACTCAGCTGAGCTAGGCTCTCTGTGAGCTCATCTCTTACTGCTCACTTGGTGGGAGATCATTTCTTATAGCGCTCCTAAACTCTGGAACAGCATTCCAGAGGAAATAAGGAATGCAAACTCAAAAGGTGTTTTTAAATATAGATTAAAAATATATTTGTTTAGATGAGCACAGGCTCAGCTTAATGGGTCTCCTTTTACTTTAGTTTCTATTAATTTGTGGTTGCTTTCCAAACAAACTGTACTCGTTAAGATTTAAAACACAGATTTTGGAACTGAAATGAAATCTGCTATAAAATTGAGGATTGTTCTTATTTCTATGAAAGCATTTTGAAAACCTCTGTCTGAGAGCTGTTCCTCTGTGTCCACCAGGAGGCGCTGGAGTCATGTCAGACACGGCTGGCAAAGCTGGAGGTTCAGCAGCAGCAGCAGCAGCAGACGGTGCAGGTGGAGGCAGAGGCGGGCCGGATGCTGTTGGGGAAGGGGATCAGCGTCCTGCTGGCCGTCGCCACGCTGCTGCTGGTGTGCGTCTCCACGGCAGCCAGGTTCATCTCCCCCATCCTGCGCAGCCGGCTCCACCTGCTGGCCACAGCGTTCGCTGCACTGCTGCTGTCACTGCTCTGGAGGAACTGGGAGAATCTGCAGCACAGCCTGGAGCACACGCTGGGCAACGGCTGAGAAACGCAGGCAGGACTAAACACAAACCTGAGCCTAAATCCAAACTGGAACCCAAACTTCGTACCAACCTTGAATTCTGAAGCCAAACCGGAGGTGCAAATCCAGAAACCAGACTCAAATCTTGAACCCAAAGCCAAACCTGCAAGACGAGTCCAAACCTGAAACACAGACCCTCAATGTGAACCCTCAAACACTAAAACCAACACTTTGGCACCAAACCTGGAGCCAAAACCCAGTGTCTGGAACCCAAACCTCAGAACCAAAACTAAACCCAAACCCAAACTGAAACCCAACGCTTAAAACCAGACCGAGCACCCACACGCAAATTCTCAGCTCTGAACACTGAACCTTCTGAACAAAACACAAACTGGGACCCAAACTGGGAACTTAAACCAAACGCTGAACCCAACCTGGAAGCCAAACACTGAATCCAAACTCAGTACCCATAAACCTAACCTGGAACCTAAATCTGGAACCCATCCCAAACCTAAACCTGGAGATTAACCCAGAATCCAAACCCAGAACCCAGAAACCTAACCTAGAACCAAAACCTGGAACTTTAACCAAATGCTGAACCCAACCTGGAATCTAAATACTGAATCCACAACCAGAAAACTGATCCAGAGCCTACGCCTGCAACCCAACCCAGAATACAAACCCAGAACCCATAAACCTAACCTGGAACCTATCCCAGGATCTAAAACTGGAGTCCAACCCAGAATGCAAACCCAGTAAGTCAAATCTGAAATTCAAACCCAGAATCCAAATACGCAACCCAGAACCCAAACCCTCAGTACTGAACCCAAACGCTTAATTCAAACCCAGAAACCAACCAGAATCTGGAGCCTATCTCTGAACCCAAACCTGGAACCCAAACTTGGATCCCAAACCCATAACCAAGAACCAGGAACCCACACCAAAATCCGGCACCTAGAACACAACCTGGTATTCACCCACTCTATACTGACCCCAACATGGAACCCAAATCTGAACACTGGACCTTATTCTAGCCTCTGTTCTTACTGGACCCATACTGCACTGTGATGATAGCCGAGTGGTCAGTGTGGTCGGTGAACTCGGCCGTGTCCGTGTTTACCGGTCAGCCTTGTTCCGCTCACGCTGTTCAAACCGTTGAAACATTTTACGACTGTGGATTCTTCCAAAGTAAATCTGGTTTGTTTTGGTTCCCACGTCACTGTAGAACGAGGAACCGAACCCAGCCTTCAAACTGATACTGAGATTCAGCCTGAAACTCTGAGGTGCCTTTTCAGTCCGAGGAGAGGAGGAGGAGCAGCTCTGTGGAGCTTCAGGAGGAAATGCGCTGCTGTTTCTTTAAGAGCTGAATGTTTCTCTGATTTCAAACACATTCCTTTCCACCGGACCGCCGCTCACATGCAGGACCGGGTTCTACGGGCCTGGAGCCTGGCTTCTGTTTCTGTTTCAAATGCAATCGTGGTTATTGATCAGTTGATAATCATTAAGAACAGTAATCGTTCAGCTGTGTTTTGAATGGTGTTTATTAGTGATGATCCAGGAGAGTTTCAACACTAGAAATGACCAAATCCATCCTGCTCCCTCGAACGGGACGGAAAAACTTTCATGGACAAAACGTTTTCCACCACGTTTTATTTCGGACTGTTTTTTGGTGCCTGAACTGTTAATCTGAACCATCCGAGCCTTATGAATAATAAAGAGGAGCGTGTGCGGCAGTATGACTGAAACGAGAGAGGTGGTCCTCTGTGTTGAAAAACTGCAGGGATTTTTTTATTTTGACCATATTCTGTTTTTTTATGTAGTATTATTATTATTATTTGTTTATTGGATGAATCTATTTTATAAAACTGAAGTGTTAAATACTGATTATATTATTATTTTATGCTGCAAATGTCTTTTAGAAAATTACCAAGCGCCTGTTTTTATATTCCAATCTTTACACTGGATCTAGACATGCAATTAAAACAAGACGCTGATTGTTGATCTCCCTCCTTTATTTAAAGGGGAAATCCACTGATTCCCTCATAATTCAGAGCTGTAATCAGAGTGGTTTGGTGTGAAACGGTTCAGATGAACCAGGGGTCGCCATGACTACAACACAGATATAGACATTTTATTTACTATCCAGAACCACCAGTGAACCTACACGAGTTTTCTGAGTTTATATGGAATGTTGATGATGGAAAATAGTGGAAAATCTGAAATAATAAGTTTTCTTTGGGGACTATTTTGCCTCACAGCGCCCTGCATGTATCCCTCCACCATGAATGGAGTTTAAGTTCTCTAAACTATCATAAAACAGTGTCTCAGTCATCAGGCAGTGAATTCATAACCATTTCATGTAGGAACTTTCTGTGAGGGAGCTTTTAGAGGTGGACGTCTGGTTCCTATCACCACCACTGTGAACAGTTCTGACTTGGTAAGTAACTTCCATCCTTCCGATCTTAAAGCCAACCAGTTCCAGCTGTGTCCTCAGCTCACCTCAGCTGCCTCACTCATTTCTCTCTCATGAACATCTAAAATGACTGAAGACGATCTGAGGAGATAAAGAATAAGGAAGGAGGAAGTCAAAGTGAAAAAACAGGAAACTCCTAAACTGGAGTTAAAAAACTGATTAAAGGCAGAGAAAATGGGCTCCTAACGACCACCTGGAAGACCTGGTAGGCACATTAAGTAACACTTTTAACTCATTAGCATTTATGCCCCCCAAATTCTGCATGCAGCAGTCCACGTTCTAGCCCAGCCAAACAACGACAACAGAGCAGCAATGAAAAAGGCCGACTGTGTGCAGAAACGCAGCTCCAGGCTGTGAAGGAACGTTGACGCTTTTCATTCCCTTCACAAGAACCGAACCGTCAGCAGCTGATGATCATCTTTAAACCAGGCTCAAGGGCTTCCTGTTCACAGCTTCTCAATCCAATGTTCTGTTCCACCTTAAATGGTGCTGCAGTTACATTCTGGCACCTGTAAAGCCAGAGTATTTAAGGTGGAACTGAATATTTGGTTCAGAAGCTTTGGGTCAGTTTCTCTGCACTCCGGACAGTTTCTCAAAGCTCGGACAACATCGAGCAGCTTCGCTCAGCGTTTGACCCTGAAGAGACGCAGCTCCACCTTTATTAGCATCACAGCCCCAACAGCAGCCTGTAAGCAGCCCTGCTGAGAGACTTTATCACCGTCTGATGGTTAAATCATCTTAAACTGAAGCTTCACAGTGAGAACAGCTTTAATTCACTTCGTGTTGTCGAGGTCGAAAGTGAGTAGCTAGTGTAGCTAACGTTAGCTACTAGCATGCTCACAGTAACTAGCATAGCTCACTAAAGTATGAGGAGCTGATTTACACAGCGGTTCATTTTATTTTCCTGCTGTATTATTTCCACATGTTGTTTCTGTGTGAGCCATCACTGTGCCTCACTGTAAACCAGCCAATCAGAGCAGAGCTCATCAGATTATTCATGAGCCCCACCAAAAGGGAAAACAGCTCATTTAATTCTGGTGCCAAATCATAGGGCTGTAAATGGGCGTGTAAAACCACAGCTGGGCATTTTTCACCTTGACCAAAGTAGAGGTGCTCCGATACCATACCCAGTATCAGTATTGGTCCAATACTGGCCAAAAACACTGGATCGGACAACGGGAAAAAAAGGATAATCAGATATGATACATTAACCCAAACTATCATATAAATTCTTAATTTTTTTTTCTCTTTAAATTTTATTTTGATCGTTTGAATGGTGCTGACCAATCAAAATGCTACTAAAATTCTTGCATAACTGAGTCATGTGGGCTGTATTTCTTCCTTTAGGGGAGTAGAATATTTGTTTCACAGTTTGGGCATAAGGGGAATTGTATTATTAACAGCTTACATAAAGGCGATATTGGATTGGTATTGGTATCGGCAGATACTCAAATTTGCCTTATCAGTATCGGTATCAGACATGGATAAAGTGGTATCAAGCCACCCCTAGACCCAACTCACACACCTTCTATGTAGATATCAGAGAACAATTTAAAGAACTGAATAAATGCATTCAGTGGTACCTTTAATGTTTTAGGCCACAGAAGTTCATTTAAGCTGCGCGTTACTCGCGAGTCTGATATTAAAGAGTCAGACGGCAAAGTATGAGTTAATATTCTGAGTGAACGATATTTGGCTGACCTCGCTTTAGCACTGGATTAGCCTGGAATGGAATCCAGCCTACACCCTTAAAAAGGTTCATGGTTTGATATAGAACCATTTGCATGCTCAAGCCACTCAAGCATGCAAATGGTTGTAAATAGAACCGTTACCTTTACTACAGAACCCTTGAAGAACCGTCTTTTTAAGAGTCTACAGCACAACACGCTTTTACTCAGCTGTAAAGAGTAATCAGTTAACGCGATGATAATTACTGAGCTGTTTTTGATAGCTGGCATAGTTAATGCAGCTGTTCTAAATCATTAATGGCCATAATTCTGTGTAGATGAACAAAATAACGTTATTAACCATGTTCTAAATATAGTTTTCACTCTGGAAAAGCTAAAAGTGAATTTATCCTCATTTTTATTATGATTTCTGTATAAAAGTACTGTGAGTTCTGGATCTTGTATCATGTCTTGCTGCTGAGCTGTACTGTGACATGATCCACACAGAGCACAACAACAAAAGAAAAGCACGGTACTGAACTGGTGTGTACATTTGATTAGTCGCTTACTGAAGTAGAAAACCTGGTGAGTGCTTTATTGATGATCACTGGCTCAATTTGCATAACTGGGGTGACCAGAAGAGTGGCCATGCTTCACTCAAGGGTCACACTGACCCCTCCTTGGCCATGCTCCTGGTCCACTTCTGCTCCAGATCCGAAATCCACACTTATTTTTAAATTGAAAGCAAAACATAGTACACAACATCAGATGCATATATAAAATATACATTTAACATACATAGTTAAATAGGGGGGATAAATATACACAAAAATATTAAAGCACATCCTTTAACAGTTTCTATAGCCTTTTGTTTTAAAGAGGTATGGATTAATCCAATATAATGTTCCATCTCAATAAAAATGGCCCTTTTGCCTGAGAACTTACACTTGTGAATATTAAACTTAGCTATTAAAATATAAGATTTATCGTTTCGCTGCTGTGAGAACAAAACCTCTTATCTACAAAATGGTAACTTTACAGGAGAAGGAAAAAACATACTTTACTTTTAATGTAAGTCAATGGAACCAGACATTTTTCCAAATAATTTTGGGTCGTTTCTTTTGGTCCATTCATCATGAAATGTACACACAATGTAAAGAACAACAGACGTTTTCAAAATGTTTCAAAAACTGAAAAACGTATACATTCAGCTCTGTTGATTCTCTAAGACTAAATAATATGTTTCCACAATAAACAGTGCTTTTCATCAGTATTATGAAGAATTAAGGCACTGAGGTTTCCCCAAAAACGTTTTCACATACTGACTATGACCAAATAAGTGGGTCGCTGCTACAGAATAAACAAGTTTTAATATGTTTAAATTTTTATCTGGGTAAATTTTATGTATAAGTTCCTAAATCCTCTGACGTTTCTGTCCATCCTTCCCCTGTGAGAAGACTCGGCTCGGCACTGTGGGTCTGAAAGGATGTGTAGCTGTTGGTCCACAGCACAATAAGTTCAAAAAGTTCAGGCCCTGATTTGCTCTGCAGTACCGCCCTCTAGTGGCAGAGATGATATTACACACTTATTACTGTTCCAGAAGCTTCCAGCAGGGGGCGTAAAAGCTGCATGAAATTCTCTGTACAGTTTATTCTCGCTCTGGTGTTGGTTTAATTTGCCTGTTTGGTCAAAAAACTAGTATAATATAGTTAATATAATAGTTAATATAGTTAATATAGTTTACTAGACATTATTAACAGATTATTATAAGACTGCTTCAGCAATGTTACACAGAGGTGAAAAAAATCAGTATAATCAAAAACCTTAGGTTATTCGACTGAGTATGTTAAAGCATGTTTGCTTTTTGAGTATAATATTATCCCTTTAGAAAAACGACTGTACTGATTTTTTTTCACCTCTGTGTAACATTGCTGAAGCAGTCTTATAATAATCTGTTAATAATGTCCAGTAAACTATATTAATTATCTCAATTTACTATAAGACTCTTATTCTAAGGAATCCAGTAGAAATCAGATAAGTGTATCATTAGAGGTTTTTCATAAAGATGTGAATACTTAGTGTGTGACATCATCAGACGTACTGATTTATCTCATATTCGGTACATGCAGATGTATAAAACGCTAGGAGGTAAAACGGTTTCTATTGGCTGCCACACTGTACAAACACTCTGAGTCTCACAGTTTAACAGATCATAACTGTTTATCAGCTAAAGAATATCAGAAGCTCAGCTATGAAGCACAGAGTGTCTAATGTTACATCAGTTCATGTTAAAATCACAATATGAGGCTTTATTAGTGTTTCATACTGAACTGGAGTGTTTTTATAGCATCTGCCCTTCAGCGCTTTCACTCTGACTGTGGAGCTCACTGTGTTTCTGTACATTCTCAGGATAAAAATGTCCAGACTGTAGTAAAATTTCCCTGTTTCTACACTCGCTGTCCACTGTATCAGCTCCACTGACCATAGTTTCACTCTGTAGTTCTACACTTACAGACTGTAGTCCATCTGTTTCTCTGATACTTTGTTACCCTGTTCTTCAGTGGTCAGGACCCCCATGGACCCCCACAGAGCAGGTACTATTTGGGTGGTGGATCATTCTCAGCACTGCAGTAACACTGATGTAGTGGTGGTGTGTTAGTGTGTGTTGTGCTGGTCTGAGTGGATCAGACACAGCAGTGCTGCTGGAGTGTCCACTCACTGTCCACTCTATTAGACACTCCTACCTTGTCAGTCCACCTTGTAGATGTAAAGTCAGAGACGATAGCTCATCTGCTGCTGCACGGTTTGTGTTGGTCATCCTCTAGTCCTTCATCAGTGGTCACAGGACGCTGTTGGCTG